AGTCTGGGTGCAGCAAACAGTACGAAATTAACTCCAAAGTTAAGACTGAACATGAATGTTTTGAAAGCATTTGAGATGCTCAATTAGAGGTCCAAAGACAGCTCCTCCATGATGCCCCTCAGCTCCCAGAGCACGCAATATGTCCCTACTGCTGAAGTAAGCCCTGCAGGCTTTCAGGCATAAATGACTGCTTTGATAAGGAAGGGGGGTGAGCAAATGCATCCACTCAGCTGTGAGGGCAGGAGGAGACAGCTGACAAACAATCACCTCATTCTTGGAGTTCCAGATACCAGGTTTTCACACAGCATGCAATTATGTCGCAAACCTCTTTGCCAGAGCATGCAGAGAGGTTCCAGGAATTCACCTCATTTTTTCCTTGAAGATAGCTCTGCTGGCTCGTCACCAGGCACTGCGGTCTTAGCACCACGTCAGAGTGAAAGGCTCCCCAGGCTCTCAGAGGTGCTCTGTGCTTCCTCTGATCCGTAATACTTTAAACGTGTGCTATCAACCAGTCAGTACCTGAAAATAATAAAGGAACTGATGGCCAACCTGGCCTCGGTTTGGCCAAATACAAGCCTTGCTGGAGCATAAACAAATTAGAGCAACCCAGGTGACATTTATGCAGAGAACCACTGACAGATCGAACAAACCCCCAGACCCACTCCAGTAGGGAACCTGTGTGAAAACCAGAGCGTGAACAAACCCAGAACACACAGCTCTGCTCTCCTGAAACTCACCCAATCTCCAGGGATTTTAAAGCATTGCCTGCATTTCAACTTCTATGATATTCATCGTTATCCTCATCTAATCACCATTAATATTTTCACTGAGCAGACAAGGCTGAATCAAAACCACATAGGGTGGATTTACGAAAAACAGAATAATTCGTGGCCTCTTTGACGTTTGTTTTTGCCTGAGAGGTGGTCAGCAACTAGCAAAATGGTGGATTTTCTCATTATGATTATTTTCAATCACTCAGTTTTCTTGTGCAATGGGCAGACCTAAAGCAGAAGCCTGTTTCCTCATGTACCAGGATGACTGAAAGGAAACAAAAGCAGACAGACTCCTTTGGTTTCAGATCTTCAAAGATATTCCCTCACGCTTCACACAGTGCATAACAATGGGCCCGTTTTAGCAATGGGTTATTTGCTCCTTCAGATCAGCCTGCTATTTCCTACCCTGTTTTTTTTACCTGCAAGTTGTACTGTTTGCAGTGGGGATTTCTGCCTCTCCCCTTCCCTGCCCCCAATCATTTGTGTGCTTGAGTGCAGGACAATAAGTGCAAACACAGCAATGAAGATTTTGAAAACAAAAGGCAAAAGGTACACGAGCACGCTTTTATTTTCTTCAGTAGCATTACTGTAGTATTTCCATTTCCAATACAATTTTGGTCTAAAAGTGGATATTTCTAACCTCCCCTGCACACAAGGAGAGCTTTCAGTTTTGTTTTCTGTAAAGAGCTGGCACTCGTTGGCCTCCCTACTGAGCTTAGTAGTTACATGTACAGAAAATGAATCCCACACCTTTCCTAGCAGTAGCACAGCAGCCCACCATTGAATGCTAGGGGCTATCAGGGTGGAGGTAGGAAAAAAAAACAAGAAAAAAAGTGTAATGAAAACAATAAACTGGGTGATCCTGCAAGTAGGAAAACAGGAAAGAGGTAACTTTTAAAAGAGAATGACATTGTATTACTTAAGTTGCAACTCAAATTCATGGTGCCAATGAACAGCTTGTGTTCTTGGAAGAAAGTCACAAGTTTCATGGAAAAGTTTCAGGAGTTCATAATACGTGCATTAAGCTGGCAGACCAGCAGGGACACATTTGTGGTGTCCACAAGAAGAACAAGGTTCAGCAAAAAGCAGAGTTCTGTCAAGACTGCGCCAGTGGGATAGCAAAAGGACACGAAAGCACAGCCAAAACCAAACTGCAGTTCTTGGCTTTAACAGCTAACTTCAAAAATCAGAAAGCTTACTTTATTTGCAACTCTGACTTATTTTGCCCCGCTTAACTCTACCATTTGGAACAGTTTGAATCAGGCTTTGATGGAAAGCATGCTTTTTTAAAAACATGAACTCCCAAAGAACACTGCCCCATCTCTCCACCCATGGGCTTCTGTCACTGGACATGAAGTCACTGAATCACTGAGTACCGAGACTGCTCAGCTTGTGGAAGTCAAAAATGCAACTGCAGAGTGGAAAATCCATCCATTCCAGCAAATCTGAAGAGTTGTTTCTGTTCCTCAGTTAACTCTGAGGTTTACTAGTAGATTCCTTCACTCTCCAACAGCTGTAGCAATATGAGATAGAAGGAACAAAGACATGATGACAACGTGGAGATAGGGAGGCACTTAGATGAGGGGCTAGAGATGCAGCAGAGATGGGGAGTGTGATACAGGTCGCTAGCTGAACAAGCAGAGGTAGGCAAGGAGCCTAGGCTGATTAGGAATCTGCCAACACTTGAGACTGGGGAAATCTCAATCTTGCTAAATCTTGTCTTTCAAGGCTCAAGGAATTCCCTCTGTGCTAGGTCAGGAACTGACTTCTCAGTACACCTACAGTCAGAACTGAGTCACACCTGCCAGCCTGTGATCTTATCTGTCTTAGTTTCATGGGAAGGAACTGTAACACAAACCAGACGTGCTACTCCTGGCCTGTTCAAAGCATCTGGGCCGTAAACATGCGGAAGTTCTGAGTCTCCCTCCAAAAGTACAAGCAGATGTGTTTTTGCATAGCATGGTGTTTGCTGGCCACAATGAGGCTTCCAGAGCTGAGCTTGCTTCAGTGTTTGCACTCCGCTCCTGTTCTCACCATCATGAACTGGGCAACAGCCTTAAAAAGTTTCAGGAAGAACCTGCAGGGAATTGGAAGAGCGATGCTTCATGCTCATGCTGACTGACATTCCTCTTCCCAAGCCAACTCCATGCACCAGAATCCATTAAGAAGCTTCCTGCCCTATTTGCTTGCTAAGTTGGTTTGCCATTATCCTGTGAAAAGGAAATAGATGTGAACTCATTTGGATTGGTGCCCTCAGGCAAAACACACACACAGCGACAATCCTACGCACATGAGGCATAATAAGCCGGAAGGGAAAGGCAACCAGATCTCAGGGAGCTGTCTGAAAGCCACATCAGCACACAGTGAAAGCTGGATTGCTCATTACCACTGCACAACGTCTCAGATGAAGGGTTACCTGCATGAATCCTCGATGAATCCTTACTGAATTGCTGATCTAATGCAAAAGTTTCATTAAATTCTGCGCCTTTTATTCTCCAGCCAAAACTCTTCTCAAGTTTGGCTTGCAGTGCTTTCAACAGTATGCTGAGGAACAGAACGGATTGTCAAGAATGTTCTTATCACCAATCCAGACCAGTGCAACACTTCACTCACACATAAAAATAAATACACCATGGGGATGTGCAGGGAAGGGAGCAGGGTGGAATTCAATCGTAAGGGTATGCATGTCCCAAGTCACAGAAAATTTGTATTTAGAGAAAAAAAAAGATGACTTTCTCTAGAAGATAAACATTGTGATCTGTGCATTAATTATAGCTCACTTACCTTCCTTATCCCAAGGCTTGTTATTTCCTCCTCCCAGCTGCACTAGGAAGTAAAGGCTTGAGCCTTTATACGAAGGAGCTAATGCATTTTAAAGGCTTAACCTGATGCAATGCCATTTAATCACTGAAGCACTTCATTTTCCCTGCTGGATTCCAGGAAGACTTCACCCTCATTTAAGTCTAAGAGCTGTATTCCTGTCATCACAACCCACTATTCCCGTTACTTTCATTACAATCAAATTTCCTCACATCACCTTAGCAGACTCTTCCCTCTTAAACTAAGTAATCTACTATAACTACTATAAAGCTCTTTCCATTCTCCAAACCATTTCTCACTAAATAATTCCAAACAAGTCATTGCTACATTTGATAACCCATCAGTGAGAATCAATTCTTGCTCAGTTTTCTCAACTCTAAATTTACTTCATAGGAAAATCAATATATATCCAAAAAGTTACTCACTGCTCATTTTTCTTTTTAAGCAGCCACCAATGCTGCAGCAAAGCAGGAACCTGCCAGCCCCTATACGTATACCCTATATAACATAAAAGATGCAACATCCTAACACTCTGCTTTTTAAAGGCTTGCCATCTCCCATTCCCAACTGTTCCCAAATCCCTACATTCTTGATATGTTCCTCAGCAGACATTCACGCTGTACCTTCTTGTTGCAGCCCATTTCCCTATCTTTGTTCTCAACCTGCTCATTACTCCACCAACTCCAGCTGTTTCCAGAACTGTTTCTCCATGAGAGCAGACAGGAGGCTCAACAGCAAAGGACGGTCACTGGCTTCCCCTCACCTGGAGGCTCCTGACAGGAGCAGTCAGTCCAATTCCCCCCCCCACTACTTTTTACCTATTGAGTCAGTGGTGCTACTTACTCAGCTTTCTCCTCTTTCCTCCTTTTCCTTTCTTGCATCACTTTGAAGCTGGGTTGATGCCTTCTCTCAGCACTTCCCCTGCCCAGTATCACTCAGCCTGTTTTTCTTTACTCAGTTGAGTCCTACGCAAGAGGACTTTCTCTCACCTCATGGTCATGGAATGGTGTAATGACTAACACCAGCAACCCACGAATCCCACCCATGTCACTAACTGGTTAGTATCACACATGCACTCCACCCCATCTTACTTCATAACATTTAGTTCTTCCTCTCTTCCCCTGTCCCTCTGTTTATGCAATCCACTCTTTGATCCCTCCTTAGATCTCAGCACCAGATGTATTGCTCACCTGCCTATCCTCAGGATTTCTCTATCACTTGTTGCTCACCTACTGCAGCACCCAACAAATTCAAGGACAACTGCAACAGCATCTTCTTGACAATCTACTACCTAAGTGTCAAAGCTGCTGGATAGACCCTTGTAACTCTTGAAATGTGTTGCTGAATGCTCTACAGTAGAGTGCAATTAAGTCAATACCGCATCTGAGATGAAGCACTGCAAGAAATATTTAAATCACATTTTATTTTTCAAATTCAAAAATAACAATTAGCTTTATTTAACATTACACATCTCACAGGTTTAAAATATCATGCTCTATTTAAATATCTGAGTGACAACACTATACAAATAAAATGTTACACAAAATATATTTAAGAAAATGTTTTGGTCTTCCATCTGAACAATAAATAGACAGGCACTTCTACATATACAAAGGAAGCAATACTACTTAGAATAGCTCTCATAAGCAAGATGTGGAAATACAGAAGAAAATCTGAGATTTGAGAACATGTTTAACTCTACATGAGACATCATGCAACTTCAAATTTTATTTCAAAATTTAAACCTGTTAGGAACTGCACAATCCTACACTTGCTACCGCTTCACAGGAGATCCAAACCATGCTCTTAGAAGCAATGTGCAATTTTGGTTATTGTTAATCAGCTACCTGATCACTTTTAGTGCCAAAGCAGAGAACAAGGATGGACCAGAGTAGCTTTCACAGAGATACCGTGAGTAACAATGTCAGCATTACCGTGTATGTAAGCTCAGGGTGGGCAGCAGCAGAACTGTACCAGCCACAAACAGAACTCGTTCCTCCTTTCCCTTACACATTCAGATCTTTCACGGGGTGTTTGAAACTGTATTATGTTTTTGTTAAAAAAAACAAACAAACACATCTAATAAAAGGGTAAATCCTTCAGACACAGGCACACTTCGCACAAAAGACAACATGTAAAGGAGAAAATACTTGTCCAAGGTGCATAAAGACTGGAAACTATAAATTAAAATATATCAATAATTGAAGTTTCATAAAAATGTTTTATAGAGTAAAAGAGCATTCCTCCAATTTGTGAGTTTCAAATTTACAGTGGTTTCCACACACAAACACTACTCAAGGAAAGAGAACGCATCTGCCACCATCAGGATTAATGAAAGATGCTCTGCAGTAGGCATCAATAGCTGACAGCTAGTTACTTCCAGTCCTCTTTAATGTTTAGACTGCTATTGAAACATAATGACCACCAGGACAGTGGAAAAACAGGACCAAGTCTTTGTGCCATCCTCTCAGTATGACTACTGCCACTTTTCAGAAGTACGTGAAGAAAGTTTCTTGAGAAAATTTGAAAAGAACAATTAAACAGAGCTCCAATGGCTCACCAAGGGAGTCAGATTCAAACTTGGAAAGCTATTTGGACATAAAGTATTTACGCACATTGCTCTAGCAATTTAAGTGTGGATCTTGCAAGCTTGTCCAAATCTTAATCATTTCTTGAGGATTTCTACTATGCACTAACATTAAATTTGTGTAGGAACATATGTTATTTCTGTATTTCTCTTCAATATCAAATGTTTTGAAACCTTTGTGTTTTTCCGGAGCAAGCCCAAGTTTCTGAAGGCACATTCCAGTATAAACATCATCAATAGGATACAGGAGTACCTGGTCAGATGCATTATTCAGTCTTAATGCCAGGTCACCAGAGTACAGAAACCCACCACCTCCTGCATACGGAGGATACGAACCTTCATAAACACTTTCTGGGATATAGTACTTCAATTTTTTTTCTCTATGAGGTCCAGCATCTTTGATCACATCACCTACAAATAAGTCTTTGGCTTTGTCCTTTGATAAACTCTTCAAGTAATCCAGGATCTGATGGGTATTCACAAATACATCGTCATCACCCTTAAAAATAAACTGGACGTCCGCACAGCTGCTGCTCACCCACTTCAGAAACAGTACTTCTTTCAGAGTTAAATTGAAGAAAGTGTCTCTGTAGTTCCAGAGGAGAATGTCTTTGTGAGTTTCGCTCTCAAATTTTACCATGTCCGTAAGGTTGGGAAAATGATCCTCCGGTGGGGTCTGACCAAGTAAGAAGACTCTTTTGACTGTTACATCTCCCGATTTTATTTCCTTGCCCCAGGATTCCCTAATTGCTTGCCTTCTATCAAAATGTGGTATAAGTGACTTAATAGCCAGCAGCAGAAAAGGTTTATGTTTGCACTTGTTTGGCTGATCCATTATTAATGAGTAATTTCTACACCTCAAATAGAGGAGAAAGTCTTTGAACCTTTCTGGCAAACTTGCAAAGTCGCTGATCTCTGAAGTGACCCACGGGTCGGGGTCGCAGGAATTGAGAACACTTGAGTTCAAAATTAAGTTCTCTTCCACAGTCATATTGGAAAGCAGACTCAGAATTGGGTTGTACAGCAGTTCAAGCTTCTGTTGCTGCCTGTTCCAATAGGCTTTGTGAGGTGTAAATTTTCTCCAGAAATTGTCCTGTGGTATAATAACACGGCCTTCTGCATTCTTCTCTTGGCTGCCACTTTTTGAGACTTCCACAATCACATAGATAAAGAAGTTTACCATCATCAGAATTCCCAGCAGCTTTAATCTTCTGCGTCCAACACTCATTTCTCATATCTGAAAAGGGAAGAAATGACAGATTCTTAGCATTCTTCCTATCAAAATCCTGCTTTCATAAAAATGCAAACTACTTTCAAATTAAGTAGGGGCCCACAAAGATGATTAGGGACCTGAAGCATCTTTATGAGGAAAAGCTGAGAGACCTGGGAATCCCCAGCTTGACAAAGACTGAGAGGGGATCTTACCAATGCTTACAGATACCTAATGGGCGAGAGTCAAACAGGTGGGGCCAGGATCTTTTTGGTGGTGCCCAGAGACAGGACGAGGGGCAGTGGGCACAAACTGGAACACAGGATGTTCCATTACAAACATGAGGAAAAACTTCTTGGCTGTGAGCAGGACAGAGCGCTGGGACAGAGAGGCTGTGGAATGTCTCCAGAGGAGCTGACTCAAAACCCACCTAGACACTTTCCAGTGCAATCTACTGTAGAGAGCCTGCTTTAGCAGGGGGTTGGACTTGATGACCCACGAAGGTCCCTTCCAACTGCCATGACTCTGCAAAGAATGTGCAAGATATAACCTAAGGACAAAGTTTACCTACACTCAAAAAAGTAGAGACTTATCTACCTCTAACACAAGCATACCTGCAGCTAGTCACATTTGGGGCTCCATCAGCAAACAAGATGTAAGAACGTAAAATTTCTACTTCCCACTTTAGAATTTTATATAGCATTTTACAGAGTGCCAAGGTTAGCAAGCAAATTAATTCTCATTTAATTCTCCTTGAAACATCTGACTGTTCAGTAACTAAAGTCATAGAATAGCTTGGGTTGGAGGGGACCCCAAGGATCATCAAGTTCCAACCTCCAGCCACAGGCAGGGTCACCAACCTCCAGAATCTGAGCCCTCAGCTTGGCAAAGAGAGGCAGAATATTTTTTTTTGCTAGCAAGGTGAGCTTTAAAAGTACATAATGAATTGCATATACAATACAGTCAGTTCTTTTTAAATTGAGTTTCAAGCTTTTATACTTCTATTCTTTGACCCTCCAACTACAAAATTAGCAAAGCCGAGTTTTCAAGTATAGTTTGCTTCTACCCATTTCACTTGGCTGTTCTATGGGAGAGAGGCTGACAAAACCAACCAGCTGCACTGCTGATCTTCAGAACTCTGCAGACAGAAGATACCACAAGCTTTGACTTTCTTTTTCTCCCAGTACAAAAGAAAGAGAATGGCAGCTGAAAGCCAAGTGTAATTACTGCTACTGAAAATGCAACTGAAGAGACTTAAATTAAAAGGAGAGGTTCCCAACATTTCTAAGACCAGGAGTAGTGAGGGTATGTGTATTTGTTGTAGCACAAGCTATTCTGACCCACGTGCAGTTCTTAAAGAGAAGAGAAATGCATCAATGCCTCTCTCCTTCAAAGCTGTCAGAATGAAAGACATAGAAACAGTGCATGAAGCAACCCAAAACAGTGTTCCTCTAAAATAATACTAAAACTGTTTACCAGCCCAGAGGGTAGAGAACAGTATAAAAACAACAAAAAAAAAACTTAACAACTCAATCTAAATTCAGAAGCCAGACTAGAAAATTCAAGATGAACAGAGTTACATTAAGGCTCCATTTAAGATATACATAGAACTCTGCAAAGAAGCTTTCACTCACCAGAAGTGTGATTAAATAAGATCAGAAAAAAACAAGTGAAGTAACACAAAAGCCCAGCTGTAAATGTTAGAAGTCAGAGAGCAACAGCAGTCAGGAAGGCGCACTTGAGAAGTACACCATGTACTTACTCTTCTCTTCATACAGCAGATAAATCAGCAATTAAAAAAAAGTAACACCTCCCAGAAACCAGAGAGAAATGCCTGTTCTTCCTTCATTTTACTTCAAGTTGCATCTGTTTATGTATCTGTGCTCAAGCCAGATTTACTTCATGTCCTGCTCACAGCCAACCCTGAAGCCTGCTGTCCTAAGTTCCACACCTCAAAGACAAAAACGTATCTGTGGCCAGTGTCACCATTTACTCGAAATACCTGAACTGTGAAAAGCACTGGCAGCTTCAGCTACAACCAGACAATCAGGTAACAGTTTTCCCCACTCTGTCTCTAAGCACACACGCTGGATGGAAAGCAGCAGTCCCACATCTCACACCACTCCCCGCAGCTCAGCGTGTATCAGTGCTCACACACCTCGTCCTCAAGTGGTTTTATAGCAATCTGCAGTGGAACAACAAATGACGTGGTACTTTACCTATGATCTCTATACTCCTGAGACAGCAGGGTGAGAGGCTCACCCAGTGATTGCAAATGCAGGACTGCCAAGAGCTCAGTCACAGCCTGATTTTCCAGAATATGTAGCACTAAGCAGCTGATCTGTTCACTGCCCCCAGCTACTAAACCACGAGCATTCAACACTTTTGCAATTCATCTTCTAGATGCTAAGATCATTTCCAATACAATGACACACCACTGCCACAGCCTATTTCAATGACAAAACAAAATCTTTCCAATCTCTAAGTCTTTGGGGTAAGCATTCAAATTCAGTACCTACAAGATCTTCCTCAATCTGTTTTATTCCCACACCTGTAGCAATTCCCTGCTGCAAAGGGGACAGCAAAACCTTCATTAGTTAAGACTTGGTACAATGTTTCGTGACAAAAATACCAGTAGGAAAAAAAATCACAGCTGTTCTGTCTAATAATGCATGGTACAAATTACCAGTCCTACATACAAGCACTTCTGGCATCATTTTCAGCCTTGCTTTCTAAGAAGGTATAGAACATTACTGATAAAATTTCTGAGCAAAGGCAGGTAACATAACATTAAGTATCAGTACAAGGAAAAGGAATAAAATCAGCTGTGTTGAAAAGGCAACCTTTATCTAAATAAAACAGAGGGATTGCGTTAAGCACTTGGAACACGAGATTGAGCTCTTGAACTAAAAACAAGTCAAAGACAATCAACAGACATCCAAAAGGCTATTTCCAGCAAACACGTAAGCCTGCAGTTTAATATTAACTTTAATCATGTCACCTGAAGACAGAAGCAATAAGATGATGTCAGCTGGGCCATTTCACATTGAGGGAACAGGATTTTATCATGAAGCACACAATTACAATCCTCATAAAACCAGGGGAAGAGGAAGTGGCATTTTTAACACTGTTCTCTGTTCCTCATCTGCTTTGCTGACACAGCAATGATTGACTGAAGCATGATGGCAATGCACATCGTGTGCCCTAAGCAGCTTGCTATGGAACAGCACCACAGGATACATGAGGGCACCCATTTCCCACTCACAGCTTACTGGCAGCAATCTGGGCAGATCACAAGCACTTTTCTTATTCCAGTAATAGCTTCTTCCATCACCACTTGTATTATAAAGCTTCCAGCTGCCCTGCCTTTGACTGATGAGAATGGAAGATCTGCTAGGGAAGCCAAAAATAAACTAAAAGCGATTTGGTTCACAGAATCATAGCACGGCCTGGATTGAAAAGGACCACGATGATCATCTCATTTCAACCCCCTGCTATGTGCAGGGTTGCCAACCACCAGACCAGGCTGCCCAGAGCCACATCCAGCCTGGCCTTGAATGCCTCCACGGATGGGGGATCCACAACCTCCTTAGGCAGCCTGTTCCAGTGTGTCACCAATATCTCTCCAAAGAAACCAGTATAAAAACCTCATTGAAGAACTAAAAAGTGCAGTACAAAGCAATACTTTACTTGGGGAAAAATCCTGCTGTTTTTGCTTTCAAAAATAGAAAAAGTGAGCACATGTAGCTAGTCTGCACAAAGAGTAAAATACAAGCACACAGTAGATACTGGTAAAGCAAAACATGGGAACAAAGATATCCTACAAAACCTTGTTCCAGTTGGGTTGTGATACCTACATTCAAAGGTGATCTGATACACAGGTTTTCAATGTTTGCTTTCAGCTTCTCAGCTACCCTGATCTGAAGACAATTCTAGCAATCATTTATGGCTTGCGTAACTCCTCACATTTCTCCTTTTGCAACTTCCAGCAGTGCAGTGGTACTGACACAACTGCACACATTTGTTCAAAGCCTTTAGAAACATTCACGTGACAAGAAAGGGGTTAATATTAACCATACTCTAGGTAAACCAAGACCTGCTGCAAAAACAGTACTTAAACAGATTTATTTTGCATAAGTTGGGGAGAGGGCAATGGGACATTTGCCTCCTTCAGCTCTATTCCACTTCAGTCTAACTTGGACAGAAGGAAATACATTTGTGCAACCATGGAAGGAGCACTGGGATCAAGAGATGGATAGGAAAGTGGAACCTGGGCAGACAAGCAGCATCACTGTGGGACCAGGCAGTGAGCCACCACACAAGTGGGACTACAACAGAAAAAGAAAACAGGTATTACAGAGAAGTCATCAGCTACAAGAAAAGACTCCAAGCATCCACAAAAATTAAGCCCACATAACCTTAATGCAAAGTGGTGCGAAAAAATGCTCACTGATTGCTTTAAAACACCATTATTTTATGCTTTATCTCAAGAGTGAACATGTTCCAGGAGCTTGTAAGGAAGGGATTTAGAAGAGTTGGTATAAAATGAGCGTGTGCACTCCATGCATTTCCATGAATCACGCAAGCCGCTCTTTTATGGATGCAAGAACTCAAACAGGAGGTCATGCACCCCCAACAGAAGGGCCAAGTTCAAGGTCAAAACCAACAAGAACCTCTAAGCATATGCAAAGGCCGTATGTGATTCCTTCCGTGTAGTTTGGATACTGCAGATGAATTCTGATTAGCTCTGTTACAGCATTCTATTTACTGTAAGCACTTCATAAAGTTGGTACACAGAACACATAACAATCTGCAGCATTATTTATTACCTGAGTGCTATTAAAACATTGCAATGCAAACTCCCTGAGGTTTAGCTGTAGAACAAGAGGCGGATGTTGCAAGGGAGCAGCTACAATAAAGGTTTAAAAGGCAATCCTGTCAGATAAAGGTGAGGAAGCACAATGGATTTGGAGGGGGTGCGAATCTGCTTCTGAAGCAAGGCACAAAAACACACACCTGTATCTAAAGACACTGAATGAAGCACCATACAATCAATCCACTAAGAAATTTTCAAGACTTGGAACTTGCTTCAACACTGAGATTTCGGCAGGCTTTGCTCTACCTCAAGGTGGGACAGAAAAAACTCTTTCAGAATGCCCTCATAACAAAGGCCACAGATGAACATAGAACCAATGGTCAAATGGACAGAGTCTGACAGGCAACCTTACCAACCTTACTAATGAAGCAAGAAACTTAAAAAAACTCCCTTGTGAATCAGACCAAGTTTGTATAACTCATTCTGCAATATATTCAGCCAAACACCTACTGACTGTTAGCAATACCAGAGCATTCACTACCTGCACGGTAGCTGAGATATTACGTCACCTCAAGGATGATAACTTTCAGAATGAGTAGAACTAGCTTTATTTTACTACAAATTCCTCATTAGCAACTGTTGTCTCAGAGTCTCATATTCACACACCAAGCAGTGACCACATTTGTTGATTACTCCTGATGTTTATGCAGCAGAGTCTCTTACTGTGACACCCAGTTGTGATGCTCAAGTTTCTCCTGCAGCTCTCTGCAACTGCACCAGTCTCTGCACACAGACGAGCTCCCATCCCAAGCTCCACCCTTGCAATGGAGTTCACAATATTCTTCTAACAGGAAATTGAAGGACGGGCACTACAGAAGTGAAAGAAATCATTATCTCATGTATCTTCATACTGACAGAAAAACACAAGTCCTCTTCCTTGCTCTTATGTACCTCAGCCCATACGTAAGGCCAAGATAAATTACACACTGGACAGGCTGTTGGCAACCATTTAACACCTAAAATATGAATTATTACAGCAAACAGGCTCCATCATCTCCTTTTCAAATAAAGAGCTAACCTGTATGAAAATCACCACTGGGCACAATGCAAGGTAGCACCACATTGGAAGCAGCTCCCAACCAGCAGGTAGGTCCACAGCACAACCCTGACCTGGGCAAGGGCATTCACTTGTGTTCAAGATCACAGCTGTACTAAAGAAAGCAGTACTCTTGCTAGACATACTGAACATTGATTTCTTGACTTTAAGACCAGACACTTGCTATTAAAACATTCCTCCTTTATGCTTTTACTTACAAATGATATCCTCTGATCTCAAGTTTCAACATGTAAGCTCAAAAGGTGCAGTCAAAACAAAGCTGTAATTCAGTTTTCTAAAAGCCTTCCACGTTTTTGCAAGCCCTTTGTAGAGAAGAGCTGCAGCAGGGCTACAGCAGGCTGATCTCAATACATAACTTCATTTTGTAGCCTGGTATTCCTTATAGCAGTTATACACACGGCTTCTGGTTCTGTTTGTAACAGCAGCCTACAAGAAGATAAGAATAAAAAAATGCATTAAACGCATCCTAAGTTATACATAGTCCCTCTACCCTCTTGTGAGACGCATCTTTTATACCTCACTTCTGTTCATGGTGTGAACAGCAACAGCTTTGGAACATGAAGAAAAGCTTAAGATCCCTGACCTGTTATTAAAAAAGTCTGAATTGTTTCCAACTTTAAAAGGACTATTTTTTTATTTTTTATTTTTTTAACTACACACAATTGTATCTCAGAACTTCACACAAGTCCACTATGACACAATGAAAACAAAGAACATCTGAAGAACTGGCATGCAGTCAGCACATACCAGCATTCTGCTTCTGCAGAAAACTATTTAATTCTGGGAGAAATTCATAGATACTTTAATACCAGAAGTCACCAGCACAATTTAGTAGCTTGTGGTAGCAATGGTAATGAGAGGATGGTTGGACTAGATAATCTTATAAGTCCCTTCCAACCTCGTGATTCTATGATTCTGTGAACCTGGGTGTGGTGTTTGGCAATCCAAAAAACAGAGCAGACAGGAAGATGTTGCTGGCGTTTGCTCAGAACAGCTCAAGGCAGAAGGAACTGCAAAAAGCCTCAACTGCCGCCAGTCTAGCTTTACATTCTGTTTCCTACTGGTTATCTTCAGCGCAGTCTCAACGTTTCCCTCTCAAAAAAAACCCCAACAGCAAAGAAAACCCCAATGCTAGTACAGTGAGGCATTTCTTTAGTAATGCTCACCTGGTTTGCTGCAGTAAGGTACGTGAGTGCTTTTGGGGCCAGAACTACCTCAGAACCGTATTTAATTACTGTTCCTGAAGCTCACTTCGCTTTGTCTGCTTCCTCTTTGAACCCATTTACATTTTCAACTGTATGAACTTCACAAGCAATGTGTTTCTCAATTCTTCTTACAGAAAGCACTCCAGATGACTTGCTTTCCTATTATCAGGCAGAAGGGAAGCTCTTTGAAAGCACAATAAACGAAGTTTTCCCTGTGTTTGCCATACTACCTAATACAGCAAACCTTTACACGGCCTCTCTCCCTTCTTTGCGAGGTGAATAGTTGCAGCCTTGTTATTTCTGGAAGCCTTTTGCATCTCCAAATGTCTCTGTCATTCCTCTTCAGCCATTTCTATTAAATCATTTTTGATATGACAACCACGAAAGCATTTATTACTTTAAGCTCATAGGAGTTTATGAAGACTCTTGTTAAAGCCATAAATCAACAGTACTCAGTATAAGAGATAACACAGTCAGCCTTGCTAAACATAATAACAGAAGAGAATTAATTCAAAAATAAGCAGAATTTGAGAAATAACAACTCCCCACAGACATCTCTGTATACTTCCATCAGCTAAAGAAGCTTTCTCATTTATGGCAGGTAGGCCAATGCTGAGCAGACTAAAGTCTTCAGTTTCCGTCATTAATGATTTCATGGAAGGCCACTGCTGTCTTGTGACCCACAGAACATTACATCACCTCAATTCAATTTCTAGCATCCACAGGTTATCACTAATTAGTGCTCATTTGGGCTGATTAAGAGGACCCGAAGCCCAGTATTACTCACTAAACCAGTTACTCCCAGACCATGCCCTATGACTTAAGGAAGTAGAACATACCATGCACAGCATCACAGATGGTTCATCAGCTTTGTACTACATTTAATATGTTATGGCATGGGTAAAGGCAGTAAAGCAACTCCTCTTCCAAACCAGCTCTCCCTCTCTCTCTTCTGGGGCAGTACTGAAAACAGGAAAGTCTTCCTGAACATGAAAATTCACCTGAAACTGACAGCATTAGAGTAGGATTGTTAGGTGGCTGCCTGTCTTCTAATGAAGCAAGCATTTCTGTGCCACAGCTGTGCTGCCTCCTGGCCAATTACTATTTGCTACTCCCTCCAACCCTGACCCACGCACTCAGCCAGCTCACAAACATAACTTCACAGTAGCTACAGCAATAAACTTGGGCAGTCTCCAACTCCACAACAGGCTTACCTTACAGGTGGCATGCTAGTTTTTCAAGTCTGAAACTAGGACAAAAGAATTGAAGCTTTTAGTTCCTTCCTCTTACATAACAGAAAACACCTCCACCCACAAACCTCAAGTTTTGGAGCTACCCCAAGTGACAAAGCTCTTCACCGCCCCTCCTTTCCCAATAGCCCACCCAAAGCCTTCTTTCTACAGAAGAGCTTTCATACAGGCTCTTGTGTTCTTGCTTCAAAAGTAAAGCCTCTTGGCATCAAGCAGCTCTAAAACACCCCCCCTCCCAAACTGCAACAAAGCCTTCTCCTGCAGCAGCAACACTGGAGCTACTTACAGACTTCAGGAAATAACCGCTCCATTCATTCTCCATTCATTCAGCAGCTTACATTTGCAACCACAGGGATAAAAAGCTTCGAACCCATCTTCTAAAAATAAGGTGAACAAACGTATGCCTGCAAACAGATGGGTGAAAATCCCTTGTTTCCAACTGAAGTGTTAAAAAAAAAAAAAAACAGGAAGGAAAGATAAACTGTCACAACTTCCCCACACAAAGATCTCACTCCATGTGGCAACTACCCCAGTATGTCACAGGAACTCTTCCCTCCCACCTCTTGTAGTTCATACACTCCAGACAAGCTAATCTAATGCTCACGTACCATGCAGTCCAATGGTAATTTAACAAACTCAGAAAAAAACCTTTAAGGATCTGTACTGTGGTACACACAAGGCCTGTTCTTTCAGTTACCCAACCCAAGCCTGCAAACTTTCTGCAACAATCCAAGCCTTTGCTATCATCCAAGGATGAACCACCACAGAAATGAAGGAATATCTTTCTAACCCCTGGTTGACTTTATCAGGCACTAAAGCAATTGTCTGCGCTTGCACACACCTCCTCATCTGCTCTTACAGCTCCTGCTTTATGAAGGTGACATTCTTAGAAGTCTGTTTCGTATTATGTTTCCCGTAGTAGATGAAATGCAGCAATAAAGGAACAGCCCAAAACAACATGCAAGTTGGAAATTAATATTGCTGTTGTATTTCTACTCCATAAATAACTTTATGACAAGCATATAAAGGTCATTACACAACCTACAAATCTGAGATATATGAGAGAATGCACCTTCAAAGTATATTTAGAGAATATTAAATGCAGCATTTTCTCTAAATAAAATCTCATATAGTACATCACAGCTGGCTTTGTGAACCTCAGCTGGCTTACAGAATAAGCCTTACAATTCTCTCTACAGAACGAGTGAAAGATCTTCTCCACACATGCTGACAGTGACCACGAAGCAGCCTTAACTTGCTATAAAAACACCCAAGTTGAATCCCTCAGTGTTTGAGGGCTTACAGCAGGGAGAGCGATGTGTTTTTCCCAGCCCAGTACACAAAGGCCACGTGTTGTTCAGGCTTTAGAGTTATGAATTGTGACGTTTGTCAGGAATAACCCAGAGCTGGCAGCTCCTGATTCACCACCTTTAAAAAGCTTGAGAAGGCTCCATCTTGGATGAGCGGTAAATCATAAAGAATTCAGAGAGGAGGTTTAACCAGACGGAAAAAAGAGAAGTAATTCTTCAAAGAAAACTGCCATTCATCACTTCAGCTCCATGGGGTACAGTTCCACAGCAGTTTAAAGCAGTGTCAGTCACAGCTGACGTACTCCTGTTATTTATTTCTTCCCATACAGACTGCACAGTCCCTTCTCACCCTTCACCCAAGCGACTGGGCTGCGTCAGTTCAGGGAACTGAAGAGGCTGAATAAAGAACCTAACAATAACAGGGCAATTAGCTCCCAGCTGGCTCCGTCAGCAGGTTCACTCACCGCTGTGCCGCACCAGCACAGAAGAGGCAAGCTGAGACCAGAGCAGATCCTGTTTCTGCTTCCACGTATCAGCACTCCGCTGCTCCTGCTCGTTGCCCTACAGGCAGCACGAGGCCACCAGAAGCTGTTTGCCTTTGGGTTCCAACCTCTGATACTTCCCTGCTGCAGTCGGTGAGTTCTGCCCCTTCCCTCTACTTGTGCCAATGGGCTGCAAGAGGTAAGCTCAGCTGGAGCACTGCCCTCCCATAGGCGCTGGAAGGCAAAGGAAGCAGATAAGCACCCAGCACTTGCCTCCCCAACACCGAGCACGTGGGTCAGTGCTAGCTGTCACGGCAAAGGGGAAGCACTGCAAGCCTGCCTGCTGCATTCAGTGGTACTTAGTCTGTCGGACAGGCACGGTCCTGCTTCATACGTTTATGCTGGATCAGTAAAAATTAAAGAGATGCAGCCTATCTAGTGAATATGCAAATAACTGTAGAATCCAGAAACAAGCCAGATCATCTCCTTAGCATCTCAGCCAGCATTATCTTAAAACCAGTAGCTATTGCTGCCATAGCTGCATTCCAGTGACGTACTCCTGTTATTTCCTTTATATCTGCACACACAATGCTGATCATTCAGTCAACTAACAAAACCATTAAGCACTATGCTAAAACATTACTCTCACTGTATCTCCTTGCCTGACACACGTAAGCCACGCTACAAAGAACCACATTTTAAAAGCAAGGTGCTGTAAGTTGGTATGCCTGACCAGGTAATTACCTCCAGACCATCCCACAGCAGGGTTAAAAGAGACACCCATTTCAATTCAGCTTCCAGGATTTGTTGTCTCTGCAGCCAGAAGCCAGCTGATGGGACACTGTGCTGCTGACAACATTCCCAACCATCTCAGGCCATCTCTCCCAGCCCACATAAGTGCTACACAGTAACTCAACCACATGCCAAATCGAACCAGATTAACAATGTGAGTATACTGGCCCAAATTTCTGGATTTGCCTCTATTTGCAGTACTAAATTAAATAAGTGTTTAAGAACACAAACATGTGAAAAGCTTTTTGCCCTTAATTGGTTTGAGTTTCAAGTGTAGTTAACTAACACATAGAAGACTGTTTTCTGCACGATTCATTTATGGTTGAGAAAACGAGCAGAGCTCTGAAATGCAGAAGTTCATTTTCCTCCTTCAAACTTGCAAAACACAAAACAGATCTCATTCCAACCTATCATGTTCAAGGAAGAGGGAGCAATCTCTCCCCCAGCTGTAAGCAGCTAAGGACACATATAATACCTCAAGGATTTTGCAAAAGGTCTTTAAGCAGGTTAAGCAATTAACTCCCATTTGCTTCATTCCCACTGATGTTAAGAGCAGACAAGCATATAACCTTTTAAATCCAACCAGAAATTTCTGCACCTGATGCCTGCACAGTAATATCAAGTATTCGCTATAACTGACAGTGGTTTAAGTCACCAATTTCCAGCCATTTTGCACCTCTTTCACTTCTTATTTTTATTCAAAAGCAAATCAACAGGTTGCAGTAACATCGTTCAACTTAGAGACCACCTTCCACTACCACGGACTTTATCTGATTTTTAAAAAACCACTACCCAAGGTAGAACAGCACAACTGGTCTGACACCTAGCAGCTCCTTGCACTGAACAGCCTTTCCCACATTTGCATAGCTAGCTGCATTACATCACACAACACTGAAGCAAGTGGGAGGGTTATTTCCCAACCTTATCAGTTCCTCACTACGGCCCACAGCACAGCTGCAGACAGCTACCCCAGCACTACAGGAGCACTACTGCTGCACCTCTGGAAAAGCACCTCTGTGCACAGCTGGAGGGTCTCACAGCTCTCCTCTGTCAGGAGGAACGTTTCCAACACAGGCCTGTGCATGAGGAGCAGCCGCAGGAGGATGAGCAGAGCAGCAGGCAGGTGTTGGCCACAGGAAGCAGCACCGCAACACTCGGGCTGTTCTCACAGAATGGCCAAGGTTGGAAGGGACCTCAAAGATCATGAATCTCCAAGCCCCCTGCCACAGGCAGGGCCACCAACCTCCCCATTTCATACTAGAGCAGGCTGCCCAGGGCCCCATCCAATCTGGCCTTGAACACCTCCAGGGATGGGGCATCCAAGCCTGTCATCATATCCTCTGGTCTCATCACTAATGAGAATTCACCTCTTACAGAAAGAGAAGAACGTCAGTCATTCACTCAGAAATCAAGATGACCGCTGATTCCGTTTATCTGGCTGGCTTACGATTGAAGCCATTTCATCAACTGTCAAATTTCAGAATTCATTTGCAGAGGCGAGCATAACGAGTTGGAAGTTGGATGTTTTTCATCCCTTGCTATTGTATGCCCCTCAAACAACAAAGCTTTCTTAACCACGAAGAAACTGCTTCATCAAGTCTCCCTTTAAAAGTCTCAGCACCACACCCATCGCACCCGGGGATTCCTTTCCTTATTTAAATGCTAATTGCTCCTCATGAGACTTCAGCACAGCTCACCCAGGACAGTTAACGAGGCCGGCTTTTCACTGTGTTCCACATCATCCGGAGACCTGGGGGGGGGGGGGGGGGGGGGGGGGTTGCATATCCATATTTTAAACCTGAGAAGGCCCAAGGAAATCAGTAAAAAAGAGAAGTGAAGGACCAAGCTCAATAAACCCACAACACATCATCTTCACTCGGTTATTTTTGCTGCGTTTTAAGCACCTAAGTATGGCAGATTTCACCTTCTCTCTCCCAAGTGCTTCTCTGAATGCAGCCTACCAGAGTAGAAACATCAAACACTCATCCTGTGACTCCTCGTGCTCAAAAACATCACGACCACACCTCCTTCCTCCATACCTGTTACTTTTTTGGTTCAAGAGGCTCTTTTGCAAACAACCACTGGGGATTAAATGTGGGCGTATCTGAAAAAAAATTCTAAAAGTTTAAATTAGAAAAGTAAATGGATGCCCACCCACTTGCTTCAAAACTAGTTACATACTTCCACCACACAGCAATAGGAAAACAGACAAATAAATATACATACTAGGAAAAAAAAACCACCTCAGTGAGGCAAATGAAGAGGCCTGTTCCAAGCTTTTGGAAACTGATCAATTCCAGCAGCCTTCCAGAAACAGCAACATGAAAAACAGACACGTTAAGAACATCGATATTTTAAGGAAATTCTTTTCTTTTCCCCTTCCGTACTTTGTGCTTACTACAAAGATACAAACTAGAGGAAACAAGCCGCGAAACCTTTGCTGAAGCAACGAGGATTCTTTCGACAACAGCTTTTTTGGCTTTGGCTTGACTTTTTGGCCTATTCTTGGCGAGTTTTAGAAGGATACATTTCAAGAAGCTTTGTAACAAGCCTGCCAGGCCCTAATATTTAGCACAAAAAACGCTCCATCTTAAAAACACGAAAAGAAGCAGGATTTTTACGGCAGGAGCAGTACAGCACAGACCTGGCACAGCATCCCTCGATGCAGAGGGATGACAGACCTGCTCCTAAGTTCCCTTTCCATCCCAAGGCAGAGGCAGCACAGCCAGCCCCGCTATGAGAGCTGCTGCACCAGGTGGCAGCACAACGACGATCACCGAGGCTCCGGGCACGTCCTCGCAGCTCTGCTCCTGAAAGCCTCCCTTCTCCAAGGCAAGCAGATGAACGCTCCCCTCCCTCCCCACGTACAGCACAACTTACTCACGCAGATAACGACACCTGTTTGACAGCACGGAACGTGAAAGCATTATATCCTCTTCCCGTTCTTCAAAGCCTGAGGAAGCACTACTTTGACGCCGATTTCCTCAGCGGCATCTTCGCTACCCAGAAGCGCTGGGTAATGAAGAAAGGAACTGAGGAGGAGCTCGCGGGCAGCAGCAACCAACGGAGCGACCACCGGTGATGTTCTACCGCCAGCAGCGACCCGCAGAGCCTGCCTCACACAGGGCACCGGCAGCCACCGAACGCGTGACCTTCACAACAAGTTCCTGCAGCAGCACCTCATTTTCCTCTTCTATTTATAGCACGTGGGGACAGGAAACAGAAAAGCGCAAGCCAAATACGAGCCTGCAGACAAAACCACTCAAAGCGAGTTCTGACCGATCGCTGACCGCTCCAGCAGCGGGCCGGGGCCGCCTCTAATCTAAGGGGCCGCCTCTAATCCGAGGGCCACACCTCGCGTTTCCCGCACGGTGAGCGCCCGCTCACACGCTCGCAGTGCCATCGCAGCGCGCATCTTTCCGCACCTACGTAAAACTCTCAGCGTCAAAAAAAAAAAAATAAACGAGGGAAAAGCCAACAGCTGAACCCTCCTCCTCCTCCTCCTCCCGTTCGGTTTAATGATCAACCCCGGGAGGTCACAGCCTGAAGGGCCGCTCCGCTCACCGCGGCTTTTTGCAGGCTGACGAATGAATCGCGAGCCGCACTTTAGCCGCGGTCGCAGCCACTAAGCCCACGTCCCCTCCCGGCGGGGCACGGCGCGCCTCGGAACCCGTCGAGCGGCTCCGGGCCGGACCCGCGGGGACCGCAGCGGCGCCGGCACTGCGGTAGCGCAGCGCCCCGGGTTTGGCTCGCGGCGCCGCGCCGGAACCGCGCGGAGGGGCGAAGCGGCCGCGCGCCGGGGAGAGGCCTCAGCCCGCCCGCCCTCCCCGCCGGAGGATAACCGCCCCCCGGCCCCGCTGCGCGGCGCCCCGCCCGCACCTCGCCACGCCGCCGCGGGGCTCCGCCGGGGATCGCGCCGCCGCCGCCTCCTCCACCATGCTTCAGCCCGGCCGCCCGCGGGTGGGGGCCCTCCGCCCCGCTCGGCCCCGCCGGGGGGCTCCGCACCTGAGGACGCCGCCGCTTCCCCCGCTCCCTCCTGGAGAAATCACGGCCGCGACGCGCAGCGAAAGGCCGAGCGCGGCCGGTTGGAGGAGCGCGGGGGAGGCGCCTCACTTGTTGCCGCCCGCCTCCGCCGAGCCGACCGCGCGACCCCCCGCGGCCCGCGCACCACGGGCGGCGCCGCCCGCCGCAGCCCCGCCTCCGCGCCGTGAAGCCGGGTGGGGCGCGCGGGGCGGGGTTGGTGGCGGGGGGGGGAGGGGGTCCCCGCGCCCCTTCCCGCCCTACCCGTCGTCTCTGCGGTTGTCGGATCGCTGCGGCGCCCTGGAGGCGGGCGGGCGGGCGGGCGGAGAGAGCGCGGCGCCGCCTCGCTGCCCCCCTTCCGAGCTGGGCGCAGCCTCCGCGCCGCGTCCCTCCCTCCGCCCCGCCGGTCCCGCACCTCGTCGCGCCACCGCGGTGCCTGCCCGCCTGCCGCGATCCCCTCCCCCGACGCCATGCTGCCTTTCGACACCTCACACCTTTTCTTTAGTAAGAAACAGGAGCCCTCAGAACGGGAGCTCGGTGCCCTCAGACGGCCGGTACCACAGACCCCGCACCTCGGGCTGCCGCCCGCCTCGGGCATCGTGTTGTGGGGGGCAGGAGTGAACGCGCTTTGTTCGCCCACTTTGTTCACACGAGGAGGTGAGATTTCACCTCCTTCGCGCAGCAACAAAAAGGGGATGCACCTCCTAGGAACGGCTTTCTGCAATGGCAGCCTCTGTGGGTGCGGGCTGCTGACCAGGGCGGCAAAAGCTCCCCGTGACAACGTGTATTCCTTCACTCTTCTTTCTGTGCAGCGCTGAGCGAAAGCCCCAGGCCGTGCTGCAAAGTGCTGTCACGCAGCACGTTGTTCAACAGGTTTCTCCTTTCTAAACAAAAAGGTGTTGCGTTCGGTTTAGCAGATGGCCCGCAAAACTTTTGCCAGATGTTGGTGGGAAGCAGAAAAAGAAGGGTTAGGTCAGCAGTGCTTCCCTCAGAAAGGGAGCTCCTCAGAGCTCCGCGTTCTGGAAGTCTGCCCTCCGGAGTTGCTCTGAACCATGCATGACTCACTCGTTTGTAACCCTCTTTTTTTTTTTCCTTTTTGCTTGCTTACCTATTTGCCAAGTCGATGAGACTACAGATCCAGGCTGAGCGGTCTTCTTAAGTGGAGAAATCTCCGAGTCCCTGGATGTTTACTGCAACAAAACACAGAGATGTGAGCTGTGACGGCACGGAGCGCAGCCCTCGATCCTGTCACAGCAGACCGACAGCCCCCAGCAGACAGTTACGACTCCTAGGGACTCAGAGCCCCACATCTTTTTGTCCTGTACTGAAAGAAAATGAACACGTGCCGTTTGCTTCTATTTTAAGCACCTGCCTTCTCAATCCACTCTATGAAGAGGCCCAACCAAAGCAATTATCTCAGTGTCACCTGGCACAGCCACATAAACACAGCCTGCGCTGCAAAGCGGGAGTCTGCTCAAAAAGACACAGTTTATGCACCACTTTTACAAAGGCTGGTGTGGTTTGGCAAACAACAGGAGTCCCCACAGCACCTACCCGGCTCCCCACACTTGATGCCTTTAAATGTTGGAGGGCATAGAAAACCTGTAGTAAGTTTCCTGGAGAAGTCTCTTAGGCTGCTCCAAAATCTTGTCCAGGAGTCTGAAAGACGTCCGTGATGCGTTCAGAGGGACAGTGCATGTTCCATTCTTCTTCAAATATTTATAGATATGCCTCGTGTTTGAGTAAAGCTGACGTTACTGGTGAAGTAGAAGGATTACAGCAGAGGGAGGAATTATCCTAAATCAGAAGGCATTTTTGTCCATTAACTAACACAAGGCTAAAAGGAGAATTAAGCATCTGGCAGTCAGGAGCTCGGCTCCACTGCAAGGGAGATTTCATAGCAATATGTTTCAAGATCAAAAAAAAAAAAAGAAGGAAAACAAAAATGAACTAGAACAGTGTGCTGCATAACACTAGGTGCTAAGGAGCCTGGAAAAAAACACTGAAGCTGGAAGGTTTGGGCCTTGGACATGTGTGATGGCCTGTTGTCTTTGAGGAAGGACATTTCTCCATCCTCCCGGTCCTACACCCACAGCAGTGCCTGCATTGCACCGACTCAGCTGGTCATGGGGCTGTGTAATGAAACCTCGTGGGGAGGTGATGGGGAAGAAGGGTTATTAATCCAAATGCATTCCCCAATCCAGTTCAC